CACGGAATGGCGATAACGTTCCTCATGTCGGAAACGCAGCGGTATTTCGACCGAGCGCTGTTATTTTCGGCACCGCGTGTATACATTTCGATGCTATACATTCGTCCGCGAGAATTTAAAAAGCCGGATTCGGGAATTGCGCGACGGTGTTTTGCGAACAAAAAACGGCGAATTCGCCCGTAGAATGCACCGTCGACTCCCACGACTGTAATTCATCCCGACGCGCAATATGAAGTGGCCCTTATGACGAATGTCGGGTCTGTCGGGTATGCGAGCGAAGAGGAAAAATGAGGGTAGTGTCTTTCCCTGCTGGTATCTTCCACCGATTTTGCCGAGGCACACAACACACTTCAAGCGAGACACGCGTTTTTTTTTTTTTTTTTTCGTAAAAAAGATACCCGACGTTTCGTCCGCGCGGTTGACTCGAAATTCTGCGGGCTGTTTTGCTTTGATAAGTTTGCGTGACAAAACCGCATGAAAGATGTCGGAACTGGGCGTTAACAGTAGGAAAAGATATATTAAAAGATTATGTGAAATTTTGTCGATATATCAATATTTAATCGATTGCGCAGAATGTTTTGGATCAGGTTTTTTTTTTTTTTTTTTTTTTTTTTTTTCGTAAAAAAGATACCCGACGTTTCGTCCGCGCGGTTGACTCGAAATTCTGCGGGCTGTTTTGCTTTGATAAGTTTGCGTGACAAAACCGCATGAAAGATGTCGGAACTGGGCGTTAACAGTAGGAAAAGATATATTAAAAGATTATGTGAAATTTTGTCGATATATCAATATTTAATCGATTGCGCAGAATGTTTTGGAAATCATAATAGAACCGAAAAAGAGGTGGCCTCATGTAAGTTAAGTAAACAATACAGAAAATAACATTTTTCTGTATAGATATTTTTGACACTTTTTTAATTAATAAAATTAATACGTGACTAAAACCTATTTTAAATGATATCAAATCTAGACCGACATAAAAAGAGTGGCGAATAGTTAGACTTGATAAACTAAATAGATTATTAGTTAAACGCATACGTTTTCTTAAGAAATATTTTATTAATTTTTTCGAAAATGGAATTCTATATAAGAAATTTTTTTCTATATATTTTCGACTTACATTTACATGAGAAATTACTTTCTTCTCGGTTTGTAACACGATTTCCGAAATATATTTTCTATGCTAGTGTAGAATTGCTAAAGAATAAAATAAAGAGTGTAATTTTTTTACAGACTATAATTTTAACCTACTGTGTGTGTGTGTGTGTGTGTGTGTGTGTGTGTGTGTGTGTGTGTGTGCTGCAATTATATTTTCATACGCTGGTCTTTAAAAAAAAAACTTTACAACATTTATTTAATTACAATTAAAACTTCAGCGGAAATAAAAAATGGAAATTTCTTTAAAAATGTGCAACTTACAAACAATATACTATATAAAGAAATTGGACACTATCCTCTTTATGAAAAAAAATTTAAAGTTTCATGTATTTAACAAAAAATCTAGGTTGCAGATGACATAATATATTACTCATTTTGTCTATTTCAATTGGTCAATATAGGATAAAGGTAAAGTTTTTTTTGGAAAAACATCTTATTATTTATTAGTTGTAAAATACACATAACACAGTAGAGTATCTAATATATAATTTCTCACAACACCAGTAAAAGATAAAAACATGATTGATTCTCTCATAAAATAGCCAGCCTAAACAACATATCTGGAAAATTACACTAATTATCATGACGACCTATTCTTGCTAAAGAAAACAACATAAATGTATATAACTGCCGAATCCTCCCCCTTGTTCTCTACTTTTTGTCTCGTTTCTTCTACTTCGGCGTTTCTCTCTCATTCCGTTTCCTTTTTTGACTCATCGACCTCATGGTGCCGCCAATTAGCCACCCGTGGACTCGGGTGCGACCATAAACGCATAAATCCGTCAAGTCAGGACTCGACTGTTGACGACGGCCGCGCGGAAGATGCCAGAATGGCGATGAGAGCCGCCACGGGGCGTCGATGCGGGAACAATGTCGCGGAGTTCATCCGCGTATCCTTTTTTCAGCAGTCTCGCCACGTGGGTGATGAGTGCGATCTTCCAAGAAGAGTGTTCTTGGGCGACCCCCCAATAGCATCATGTCGTAGTATCTTGAAGAGACGATCAAATGTCCACACTATGGGTGGACACGACTTCGTCAAGGAATTCTTCTGTTTCCGATTAGGAGACATTTTTTGCGAATGTAGAGCACAATGTGAATGGAGAACAAAGGTTAAAGGCTGAACCGTAGCGAAATATACGAGAATAGAGTAAAAAAGTTGTAATATTGTACTAGTACAATGATGGATGACAACTTAAAGACGATCATTTCCAGTTTCCATGATAATTTAAATATTATATTCCAAAATTAGGTACACAAAAAATATCATTCTATTGCTATGAAAAGTGATTACTCAATTTATTTCCTCTTTAAGCTAGTCCTTTTAAATTACCTTTACTAAAAAATATTTTTTGAAAATACTCTTAAAATATACTTATTACGTTTTAGAAAGTTTATTATTATATACTCAAAACAAGAATTTATTTTTTTTTAATACTATAAAATTAATCGAAAAAATGTTTTTATGTAATAAGCAAATAGAACTTATTTCAATTTAATAATCTTGATTAAAAAATATTTATATACTTATCAGGATTCAGAATATATTTTGAATAAATTTGACGCTTATAATAAATTTATGATAGATTTGCGGACATATGATCTTTTGGAATAAATATTACGTGAAATAAACATACATATATAATAAAATAATTATTACTTTATTACAATATGTATTTTTCCGTGTATATTTAAATTGATATCTAATTTATATTTAATATAATATGATATTAAATGAATGTCAGTAAGCTTTTTAATCGAATTATGAACTCTAAGTCATAAATCGAGAATTATGTATCCCAAATTTCCCTCCTTTTATTTCCCTAACGCGATCGAAGGCTTGCGTCTACATAATTATTCTCGACAACTTAATTTATACGTTTCTCATTTCTTATACTTTATAGTGTTCGGTTCGGATGTTAAGGACGAGTTTTAATTTTCCTTTGACTGGTACCAGAACATGCCAACGGCCTATCCATTTCCTAATACCTTAAAGAAGAGGTAAAGTCGCCGCGCGGTATCCCTATTTCAGAATAAAATGGCTCGAGCTCTTAACGTAAAACACCTCGGTAATTCGAGATTTCCGGCAGCGTTTCGCGCAGCAAGGGAAACAACGGAAGTTTTCCTCGAACCGGAGAAGAGATGGCCGTGAAGTTTTCACAGGGCGAACGCATAGAAGACAGAGAGACAGAGAGGGAAAGATGAGTTTCGAGAGACGATGCCGGGAGGGATTATACTCGGCACAAGAGTAACCGACGGTACATCCTTAATTGAACCATCGTTCTTGCACGCCTAACGCATTCGTGAACCATCGCTCTCGTCGGCCGCGTGTGCTCGCGTGCTGGCTTATTTGGAAACTTAACAAAGCAGTAAATCCTCTGCCGCGGGACTCTTCCGTCCGACGCGATTCACGCACTTTGCCGTCTCGATGTGAATTCACGTCTCAATCACTCATGAAAGAGAGAGAGAGGGAGAGAGGGGGGGAGGGGGGAGGAAAGAAGGGAAGAGGAAGAAGTTTTCTCACTTTCTTAGTTGGGATAGATTTATCGAAGTAATTTAAAATCAACTTAGAGTAGGGTTCTTACTTAGGCTTGTAGCCAAATGTTGCGATAAATCATTATGATACAGCAAATACGTACACTAAAAAAACGTTTTTGCTAAAGTACCTAAAAGTTTAGTAATAAAAATGTTTTTTTTTTTTAAATCCCCCTCTCATCAAAATAATTATGTAATTGCTAGAATGTGTTAAAACTTTGTGCTGTATCAACATTATTACTTAAGCGTTCTACATAATTATTTTGATGATCCAATAAAATTATTTTTAAATCTGTATTTAGCTAAATTTGAATTTGGAACCGTTCTTTTTTTCATGCAGGTAATTAAAGTCTAATTTAATTTTCAGAATTGTCGCTAAAGAATTAATTCACATAGGTGTATTTGCCGTTACATAATTTCATATTATCACACAATGTAATGAATGAGTGTATTAATTTACATATTATATGTATATGTTTACAATACGTACTGGACAATACATACAAAAAGTTTTAGATTAAGAGATCATCTTTGAGATGAGAAACCAAACTCATTACACTAAATATTTAAAATATAAAGTTTTATATTTGAATGTATCATTGTTGCGTAATATTGCATTACATAACATCTATTCATGTCTGATTTTCTAATGCAATGCAGTATTATTTTTAATAGTATATAAATTTGTTAATATAGAGTTGTTGCTGTTAGAAAATTAACTATATAATAATCGCTTTATTAACTTTATATAAAATATGAAATAACAATTAATAATGCAAAGGGCTGTGAATTTTCATAATTAATTTTACTTCAATATCGCTTTAATATTTTTTTTAAATAGCTTTCGGATATTACTTGTGTTGTGTCCATATTAACAATCAATATTATTTTTGAATTACATTTATATTATATATACATGTACTATATTTTTATATATTTAACATTCTATTGATAATATTAACAATCGATGAATCCAGTCTTTTAAAAACATTTTACCAATACAATAATAATAATATTTTCGAAAGTTTTGTTTTTGCGATACTCAAACAAAATAAACGAGTTAAGAGATTTTGTTTTCAGGCCTCACTAGGCACTGATCGCTGTGCCACGAAAGAAATCCCTGAAGATCGATCTGGTGCGAGGCTTCACGCCTCGTCGTGAGTGTAATCGGCGCTCTTAACGCTTTAATCCCTCGGCGCTGCTCCGATCTTCGAGGATCCGGGACTCTCAACAGGAAGACCTTACGAGCACACTCCACTCGGGCACTCGGCCCTTATCCTCCCACTCGCACTTTTCTCCGTCGCTCTTTGTACCTGAATTTAGCTGGAATGCTGTCTCTGATGGTGTGACCGATGATCGCCATTTGCACCTTCAATGAGTTGGGAGGAGAGCAGACACATGCGAGAGGCGTCCTCGACCAAAAAGTGTCACACGACAGCTCATAAAACTCTGTTCCTGCCGAGAACAAATTTTGTATACACAGAGATAATGTCGGTAGTTAGGTAATCGATGAGAAAATTTAATAATCAAATTGAAAATGCGTGTGCATTTTCTTCGATTCTTTTAGGTGAAATTTACTTTTTAATTTAAAATACACGTATTTTATCAAAATAAACTCGTAATACCAATTTATATAATTTTTTCTTTCTGTTTTATTATCAATCCGATCTTCAATTATCCACAATCTCGTGCACGTACTTTGATTATCATTATTTTCTATCGAAGTACACAAATGGTATTGTTCACCAAAAACTTTTTTTGCTTTCTATTCTGACCACCTTTTGGGACCCTGTTTTTCTGCGCTTCGCCCGGCTGTTCGGGGTCGGTCAGTATAATCGCAGGTTTATAATCTGGCCCGCTCTGGTAGACGTCAGTTGGCACGCGAGTCCTCGGGGCAACCCCGCGTGTTGTGCGTCGACACGGGTCGATCTTCCTCGTTCATCTGGATTGCTTGGGAATCGGAGGGATGATATCTGAATTATCTTTCCGATGTTTCGGACTGAGGTGGTCCGTTAAAACGCCGAGCGTTCGAGAACTAGGGGTTAGGTTGGGAAGAAAGAGGAGAATGGGAGAGGAAGACGAAGGAGCAGTTGGATGAGATGCGGGAATAATTGGCGGTCAGGTATGCAGTTTGGTCGAGCCGCTTTTATATCCTCTTCGACGTAACTTCGTCGAGGCGAAGACGGCAATCGTAAGGTATAATAAATAACACAAAATTTTTGTTAATATAAATTAATCCTTTTTCTCTATGATTTTTTTAAAATCAAACACGAAATCGATTATACGCAGTGTATAATGCATCGAATGCAATTTTACTAACATTGAAGCTGCATTTCCATTTAGATCACATTTCGAATGCCGTCTGTATTCCCTCTCTTCCTAGACCAAAACGAATGCATCCTTCTCGTTCAAATACATTATTTTCAAATATTATGTTTCGTTAGAACATTAGGAACTTGAGATACACCTCGCAAGTATATAGAAAATATTGTATATAGGAGAATACCAAACTGTAGTTGGTGCCACAAAACTGTGTGGTACGAAGTGTACTTTCCCTTGAGTGTCTTCCAAACGCTCGTATTTGCATAAACAGAAAATCATCGCAAGGGCCCACAATGGATCCCGCGAGTGCAAACATCGCGGAGTGCATTTAAAGTGTGGGAGGGGTCAGTCCACAAACACGTCCCCAAAAGTATCGAGGGTCCACGTGAGCACACGGATAAAGCCACCCTATGGAAAATCCTCTGTAAACTGTCACTGTGACGAGGCTCGTCCTCGTTGATGGTCGTTTTGAAGGGACGGGAAAAAAATCGAAGGCACCTGGCAACTCAGAAACTGAGAGGAGCGATCGATAATACCGTCGACGCATCGAATGAATGCGTCGACAAACAGTAACTCAGCTTTTCTGTCACGAAAAATGCAAATGGTGCCTACTTGAAGGATTTGTCGGATTGACGTGGCTCTCGACATGAGTTGTGTGTACGTATAATGTAATATCCCGACTGTTAATTCGTGAAGCTCTCGAACTTCTCGACGGCTGTACGTTTTAGAATTATTCGGACTCTCAGATTTTCCGATGTCATGATATTTGAACGAACGAGTCGATTGTCGTGCGGTTTAGAATCTTAAAATCTTCTCCGCTTCGCTTTTTTAAAATCCTATAAGCTGCTTGGCTCTCTGAAATTTCTATATACGTAAATCCTTGGACGTCTGGCTTGTCTGATTTCCATTTCTTCGGATTCCGCTGGGTAATGCGTAGGTCAAAGAATTATTAAACCGTCACGGTGATTAATTATGTCGAGATTAAACGGATTAGTGGCGAGCATCGGAGTTAAGGGAGTGCGAGTATGCCCTTTGGGAAAGACCGCGTGCGAGAGAAGGTAGATTGAGCGGTCTTCATTACTCGCTGCCCGCTCATTATGCTCTCAGCTTGAATTCTACCTTTCTCCAGCCGTTGTCAGCTTCTGCTACGCTTCTTTCGTTTGTCTCTAGTTTCCTAAAGCCGCGAAATTGTCACGGTTCTAACTGGACCTCTCAAAGGATGCCTGCTAGATGCTAACTATGTATGCAACGTTTTTAAAGAAGAAAACCAAAAAACAACGGAAGAACGACTTGACGATGGTCTAGATCTTTTTTTATTGAAACGTGATAAAGTTATCTGATAATGTTACAAGAGTAAGAAAAGTCGAAGCTTAGTTATTAATAATTTAATTATAAAATATATTAGTTGAAAAAAGTTGTAAACTCCTCTAATATTTCGAAAATCTCAAAATTTTATTAAGCCTGAGACGCGATTTACACAAATTTAACTAATATTTATGCATCTGAAAAATACAGATTGAGAAGCAAAAGCTAATAACATGAATGGACACTAACCAAATAATAATATAATATGCCCAAGAGTAATCCTTCATTATTTATCGCCAACATTTGCGGAAAGCTGTAACACGTGAGTTAATTATTCCGGCAATTACTTCGCTCACCTATATTAATTACGATAGCCCTAATCAAACGTAATTCGAACGAGCGATATTTTACCATTTAATCCGCGCTTCGGATTGCGTGGGCCGATTAATAATGCGATTACGATCGAGCGGTCTAAGCTAGGGCGATATTTCATCGTTTGATCCAGCGACTATCCCGCGCGAGATAATCGGGGTTCTATTACGACTCTAACCGGTCATGTGTGTGTGTGTGTGTGTGTGTGTGTGTGTGTGTGTTTGTGTGTGCAAGGTGTAGCGCCGCATAATCATCGCGGCGACGGCGGCGGCGGCGGCTGCGGCGAGCTAACAGGTATAATCGTCCGTTGTTGTCCGTCATTCCCCAAGATAGCTTCCATCTCGAGAGAGCGTTCGCGAAGTCCTCTGTAGCGCGGTCTCACAGGCAGCTTGTTCGCCATGGAGGGTCCTCCCGGGAGAGAGGAAAAGAAAAAGAAATGGAGACAGACAGAGAGAGAGAGAGAGAGAGAAAGAGAACAAGAGCGAGGGAAGAGGCATCGCTGGTTGGACAAGAAACGCGCACACCTGACTAAAGAGAAACGATGGACGGATCAGCGGAGTGTACCTGCTGGAACAAAGGTTTAGCTAACCGCCGACGTCGTTGGAAGCTGAAACGCACACATCGTCGTGCCGTGCGCGCGCGCGTGTACAAAAACATACACGCGCAGGTAGCCGAGAATATAATCACTGTCCCTTTCGTTGGCGTCTCTATTAGCGTTGCCGGATGACGCTGGGATCGGTCCCGGTTTCTGAAAACGATATCGTTCACGGGAAGCGGAATGCGTCCCTCGATTTCTTCGTTTTGGTGTCGAGAAAGGGTTTTATATCCGAGACGGGAGAGTAGGAAGGAGGAAAGGAGGAAGCAAGAGATCGATTCCGGAGACGTCGTAAGCACACCCCGGCCTGGAAAAGATCTTCGCGTGCAGCTAGTCTCGGAATTGAGAAGTCGGAGTCTCGTTAGTCCTCCCGAATACGAGACGCGCAACCAGAGTCGTCCCTCGGAACGTTCGACCGTTCGCTTCGCTTAGCTTTTGTGAATTCCGAACGATCGAGAGTTGAAGGAGAAACGTATGGAGATCTTAATATTAAGTTGGAATCGCGAGGAGATCTTGTGAAAGATAAAGTAAAGACAAAGATATGCAAATTTTCTGTAAGGATTTATGAAAGATATTCTCTAACTCTGGAGCGTGTGCAAGGGAATGTTGAGAGAGAACTCGGATATTTCAGTACTTCCTTCAGGATATCGTGAGATCTTTGGAGAGACATCTATATAGCAGCTACATAACAACATATAAACATTTTTCGTGAGGTTAAAGTCACTTAAGATTTTTGGTTTGATTTTTTTATTCGGAACATTTAAGAGATAACGTGCAATTTTTATCGCATTCTTTTGGGTATACGCTTCTGCATTTTATTGCGGCGTATATACTTATACGTTATTATTATCCGAATGTAACAATAGTGGAGAATCTCCATCCGCGTTTGACGTTAATACATCTATTGCTTTTTTCATTCCAAAAATCCGCTTATTTCGAACCGCTTTTCGCGTGAAGCCTTTGGCACAACATTCGAAAATATCAGTGGCTTGGCTTTCGTTTTCCGGAGCACTGTTCGTGTTTACAGCCGCGCATGTTGCTGCAGCTTCGGTAGGCCGCGCGTTCTACGCGATAGCGTAATCGAGTTATCGCGACGGAGCGCCGTCAACAGAAATTCTCCCGCGTACGAGGATAACGTCCAGGATATGTACACGTGTATACAAAAGAGAGAGGAAATAAGGGTGGGAGGGAGGGAGGGAGAGGGAGAACCTGGAAGAGCCGGTCGGGAGGACTCGATTTTCTACTACTAGGAGGGTCGACGAGCTTTTAACCGACACGTACGGCCCCTTTCTTTCCGTGGACACGACTCGTCCACTACGTGCATATTGCGTACGCCGGCCCTTTCGTAAGCGCTATATTATCTTTATGTGCCCCGACGACCTTACCTTTTGCTTATTCAGGGTTTTATTAATGCGCTTGAATTTACTCCGCGACTGGAATAAACCCGGCGCATTGATGCCGGCCATTCCTTTTTGCGACTGTAGGGCGATACGAGAAGTTGTAATGGGATCGTACAGCATAAACCACGATAACTGCAAATTTAACAGTAATGCTAAACTGGTTTGATCATTCAGAGCAATCTTAATGCATTAGGGATTATCAGAAATACTAATTTACGTTGGCCAACGAAAATTATTATAAGATCGTAAAACCAGTTGAGATTAAAAGTATCATAAAATTAGGCCTGTTCGCGTTGCTCAAAATCTTTAAAAGTTTTTGCACTTAGGACAAGAAATAAATTTATATGTGTCAAAAAGAGAGAAAGCAAA